GTCTTTTTTTTTTTTTAAATTTTTATCGACATACTTTTTCAGTTATACGTTTGAAGTTTCGAATTTTAACATGTTCGGCCCTCAATCAAATTTTGAAATGTTTTAGGGTGGGCAAAGTTCGGTTAACCGAGAAATCGACCGAAATCGAAAATTCGGTTTGGACCGTAACCGAAACCGAATATTTGGTTCGGTCTTCGGTTTACATTTTTTAAAAAAAAAATGATTTTCGGTTCGGTTTGGATAACTGTTATCGTTTAACCGAATAGAAAACTGATTTGTACACATAATATACATGTTTTTTTATTTATGCATATAAGTTATACAAGTATTAATTTGCTTCAATAATTAACGATTTTCAAGTTTCAATGACTCATAAAATGGCTCAAGCAGTAATTTGCACTCAAGATTGGCTTCATCATAGTCTAAGTCACGGTTTGTGTACGAGATCTTCCTTTGAGGAGAATTTTATTTATCGAGAAGACTAAACAAGGTGATAATTTTTTTTTTTTTGGGTTCGGATAAAATATCAATATTTTTTGTCGGGTTAAAAATTCATAAATCATTGAAAAAAATAATTATTTTTTGCGATTAACCGAAAATCGTATCGAACCGACCGCTAGGTTTTTGGTTAGAAATCGAACCGGACCATAAAGTTCAGTTCAGTTTTCGGTTATGATAATGGACAAACCGAATTTTCGGTTAAACCGAAAAAACGGTCAATTCAGTTCGGTTTTGACCGAATGAGCTACCCTAGATACTACTTATTCTGCAAACATTATATATACCAAATATTGTTCTTAAGCTAAAAATATATAACTACTCACAAGTAATTTCACCATATTTTTAGTATTCATTGTATACTATATTAATTATTTTTCTTAATTGTTTACCAAATATTTTCCATATACTTTTTCTTGCTTGAATTTCTAAGAACCATAGGCTGGTCGTTGGCACAACAAGATCAAATGAGTGTTAAGCTTGCAAGTTCAAACGAAAGGGGTCAAAACACAACACCAAAAGATATGTCGATCTCCTCGATCGACAGACGACCACCGATGTCGATCTCATCACGAGTCTTCCTCCATAAGATTGCAGATCACTAGACTATGTTTGGATATAAAACTGCCAAAGCTGATAAAACAACTGTCTGACCGCCCAACCAGTCACATCTTTAAAAATCGAGTTTTGCATTTATACACGCGGCGCAACCTTAAGCCCTTAGCTGGCCTATGGCATTCATTACACCTCTATCTTTTTCATGTATGAATTCAACCATCTCGACTAAAAAAATAAGAGAGTACAATAACGCAATTACGATCATCAATAATCATATGTAACAAATCAATCACAAAAATTCCTATATATTATATTTTCCTAGAGAATTCATTCTTCTGTGCAGATCGACGATATCGGTGTTCTTTTGTTTCATTACTTTCATTTTAGTAATTTCTTTTCATTATATTAAAATTCTCAACAAACGTCACTAATTACTTTGTGATCCTCGAATTAATCATACCATAATTACAATTCATAATAGTAGGTAGTCGACCATCAACACTTTATAAAAAAAATCTAATAAAATCCACAAATGAAAATGACTAATACGATAAATTATAAACTTTTGGACAAAAAAATCCGTAATTATTCTGTCAGGGGACCATATGGCTAATAAATTCAATTATTAATTTCATCAACCCATTCTAATTCTAATGAAATATAAAGAGTAAAAAAAAAAAGTTGGAGCCCAAAGCTCAGCCATTGATATATGATAAAGTCAATGCGGAATAATGACTTTTAAAGGGGTTAGAATAGTGTAATAATAACAAGGAAAAACGCTATAGTTTCGTTACGAAACTATTCCGTCAAGATTTGTAACAGTTAGATCATTATGTTACCGTTGTGAATAATTGATCTAACCATTTTAAATCCCGATAGAATAATTCTGTAACGTGACCGTAGAATCTATGTAATAAAAAGGCAAACACAGAACAATTTCAATGAAAACTTCAATTTGAAAATTACATTAGAGATAATTAATTAAGTCTCATCCTAATCAGTCATGACCTAACTCATCAGACCCATGGGTCCGGTCCGTCCTTCCCAAACATGTACACTAAACCGGGCCAGCCTAAACCAACCCGAAAACCGGCGAATTCATTAATTAAACTCTCCATCCTCTAAAACTGTAGCATTTTCTGCCCATTCTACCCTTTCCTTTGCCTACCTGCCTAAACGTAAAAAACCTAATAAGCGCCTCAAAAACTCTGAACCGGCGGGGGCAGGCCGACGGCCGGT